AACCAAGAAATAGCACTGAACTGATAATCTTAATCAATTCTATATATTGGGTTAACAATTTTTTGAATCAGATAAATAACATTGTGACTTACTCAGGTTTAATAGTCTCAAATAATTTTCATGTTTTAGCTTTTTATAATAGGGATGTTCACATATTGTTTTATATAGTATGTGGTTTCAAACATGCTTTGGGGTTTTGCCAAACAAGTGTTTGCCATGTGTTTATTCAAAACTTGAATTGTTGATTTTAACTAATATTTGACGGCAATGAAATGAAATAATTTCAATATAAAACGTATGAATTCTCGAGCGCGCAAATTCAAATTTTAGCTGCCACAACAGCAACAAGATATATGAGATAATAGGATCGATGGACGTTATAATTACATGATATAAACACAGGGGGCAGAAAAGTACGATTGTGTTTTATAAATACCTTGTCATCAACCAGTGTCGCATATTTATATCACAACATAAAAGGATCAAAAGTAACGTGATTTTTATATTTTCGATAATATCATGCCTTCTACTTCATGTAATTCAAACATCATTGCATTGCAACGACAATTTCCGAACATCTTACGAAAGGATGCCGAGGGTGTAGCCCGTACATAAATAAGAAAGGGATGAAACGCCGAAAATCTTTCGTTCAATGTCCACCGCAACAGATGGTGACGGAAGTGACGTAGTTACGCACTTAAAAGATATTGCCCATGACGAAAACTATTTTTCCAACTGATTCATATTAATCAAAATAACAATATGCTCATATAAATTCTCACTGAATTGAATTCTCCTTGAATTGAATTGTCACTTATTGAAAGAATTGTCACTTACAGTGATAATACATACAAAGCCAATTTCGCAGGCTAACAAAATACAAGCCAAAATGCACCGGTATTTATACTACAAAAAGGTCTATATTATTAACCGAATTAACGAAACCTTTTCAGAGTTTATTTATTTACTGTCATTTTTTCGCACCAAAAGTACAAGTATAGTTTATTTTTGAATTTAAATAGTCTATTGATATATCTCAAGTCTGCACACGCGCCGAAGACGAGTATAAATCGTGACCAGTTTGTGTAAAGACTACCGTTTGGATTACATGCATGTCATCGCAAATCTCGGACCATCCATTTCATGGACAAAAACCTATGGCGTGCCAAGATGGACAATATTACCTTACGTCCATTTATATAATGTATATTTCAAATATATAAATTCAAATATATTTTTGTAAGCCGAAATTGCCATATATAAAACGAAACAGAAATATATACAACGAAACCGAAATATATACAACGAAACAGAAATATATAAAATGAAACACTCATATATAAATCGAAACACCCATATATAAAACGACATTAGTATATATATATAAAACGAAATATTCCAAAATATATGAAACGAATTTTCCCAAATATATGAAACGGGAATTCGTCAATTATATAAAACGAAATTCCTCAAATATATAAAACGAAATTCCTCAAATATATAAAACGACATTTTACTAAAATAAAACGACATTTTTGGCGGAGAAAGAGCGCGACTAATTTATCCGGAGTAAATTTTCTGTAAACCGCGCTTATGCAAATATGGCGGGCAATAGAAATCTGCAAAGTTTGTCAAATCTTGTCAAAGCGCTATTTCTCGATGGAATAGAGTAGAATAGCACAGAGACCCGTAATAGCACAGGGGGTCCAACTAAGAAATGTGTTATGAATATGAATAAAACATTAATTAAACGTAATATGAATAAAAAATTATAACGTAATCTATTTAAATTATTGCACCTACTTGTATAAATCATAAGAGCTTGCCTTTGCACTGAATAGCTTCAAACAGGGCGCTTATATATGCTCAGAAACATTGCTTCGAACGATTGTTCAAATATGGCGAATAAATTGACAAAACGAAAATATTACATCACGTTCCAAAGAAAATAACAGCAGGGATTGCGGGCGCGAGCGGAAGGCGAGGGTAATAGATATTAATAGAAGGGATGAAACACCGGTAATGCGATCGTGTGATGTGTTCCATAAGTAGCCTGTTCTCTCGGAAAATTCCAAAACGCCTCCTGCCAACTCCAACAACGCCTACGCGCTTAATTAATGAAAATAAACAATGTTTAGCTATACCGGCTAATATGAAATATTTAAATGTAGCGACCAACGTTTTTTTTTTACATTATTTAGCTTTATTATTATTTAGTCATACGTCACGAGAACAGGCTACTTATGGAACACATCTCGCGAAAACGGCTAAGAATGTCCGCGGTTATAAATCACATAAATTACATTGATCAGTGCTTTTTTGGTAATTACTAGGCTTCCTCATGTAAGAGAACATCGACTGTGCCTTAAAAATAACACAAAAAGCTTAAACGGATAGTCTAGAAGCATTTTAAAAAGTCACGTGATATTTGTTTCATCCCTTTTATTTATTTCTTCCCTCGCCTTTTCGCTCGCGCGCCCGCAATCCTTGCTGTTATTTTCTTTGGAACGTCATGTAATATTTTCGTTTTGTCAATTTATTCGCCATATTTGAACAATCGTTCGAAGCAATGTTTCTGAGCATATATAACCGCCCTGTTTGAAGCTATTCACTGCAAATGCAAGCTCTTATGATTTATACAAGTAAGTGCAATAATTTAAATATATTACGTTATGATTTTTTTTTCATATTACGTTTAATTAATGTTTTATTCATATTTATAACACAGCTCTTAGTTGGACCCCCTGTGGTAATAGTGGGGAAACGCAAGAAACTACAGACAACGTGGAAGCAACGATACGAACGCTCTTTCCTTGAACGAATGGTCAGACAGAAGCAAACCGAAATGAAATTCGTGTGGTCGCGGAACATGACGCGCTGAATACACCTGATCGTCGATACCCCGAAAACGCAGAAAGATTCGCGCCTAATCGCAAATATGGTATCAAGAAACGGCCTACTGTCAAGCTACGTTGAGCAACAACAAAAATATGCTCATATAAACTGACCCTGTAACACCTTAATTTCATCAGGCCCCAGCAGTCTGTGAGAAAACATTTCCGCTTCCTTCGTGCCCCAGTCAGCGGAAAATAACACTTCTCACACACCGCTCGGAGCTGCTACAGCGTCACCCGCAACCATACAACGCATAGAGTTAATTTATACAGTTTATGCCTTCTGCATTATTTTTGTAATATGAAGTAAAAAGTTTTTTTTGACTCATCAATGTAATTGTTCTTTGCCTTCGCAGTATGCCACCCTCCTTACCTCTGTAGCAGGCGGTCTGGAATACAGAGAAAAGCTGCAGTTGTAGGCTTGTAGCACTACCATGCCAGATCGTAAACTGTGAAGTCCGTAATCTTTAGCATCAAGCCCTTCCTTCACTAATTCTTTCTTGGACAACGCGATAGCACAGCTGTATGTCATAGGTGTGATCAGAAGTATCTGACCATATTTGATACCCTGGATACGCTTCCAAATGGAGGTTCCTGGCTTCCAAATATGATTTATACATAAACTGTATAAATTAACTCTATGCGTTGTGTGGTTGCGGCTGACGCTACAGCAGCTCCGAGCGGTGTGTCAGAAGTGTTATTTTCCGCTGGCTGAGGCATGAAAGAAGCGGAAAATGTTTTCTCACAGACTGCTGGGGACATGTTAAAATCAGGGTGTTACAGGGTGGTGCAGGTTATATGAGCATATTTTTGTTGTTGCTCAACGTAGCTCGACAGTAGGCCGTTTCTTGATACCATATTTGCGATTAGGCACGAATCTTTCAGCGTTTTCGGGGTATCGACGATCAGGTGTATTCAGCGCGTCATGTTCCGCGACCACACGAATTTCATTTCGGTTTGCTTCTGTCTGACCATTCGTTCAAGGAAAGAGCGTTCATATCGTTGCTTCCACGTCGTCTGTAGTTTCTTGCGTCCCCCACTATTACGGGTCTCTGTGCTATTTTGACTCAATCGAGAAATTGCTTTGACAAGATTTGATAAACTTAGCAGATTTCTGTTGCCCGCCATATTTGCATAAGCGCATATTACTCCGGATAAATTAGTCGCGCTCTTTCTGCGCCAAAAATGTTGTTTTATTTTAGTAAAATGTCGTTTTATATATTTGAGGAATTTCGTTTTAGGTATTTGGGAAAATTCGTTTCATATATTTTGGAATATTTCGTTTTATATATATACTAATGTCGATTTATATATGAGTGTTTCATTTTATATATTTCTGTTTCGTTGTATATATTTCTGCTTCGTTGTATATATTTCTGTTTCGTTTTATATATGGCAATTTCGGCTTAAAAAAATAGATTTGAATTTATATATTTGAAATATACATTATATAAATGGACGTAAAGTAATATTGTCCATCTTGGCACGCCATAAAAATAGGTACGCACTGCGTACATGTTGCATGCCATCTGAAACTTATGATCATAGATATTTTATATAAGATATCTATTCTTATGATGCGCTATAGCGCTTTTGCCTTTGGTACAACTGGCGTGAAACTTAAAATATCGATTCAATAAATTTAATATCAATATATTTATTGCAAAATAGCTATTATGTCAAAATAAGAAAACTTAAGACTCTCACGCGAATTTGCCTACGGTGTAGACCCCAGCAGAAACACGCGAATATGGACAATGTTTTTTAAGCGACCATTAATAGTTAGTTGCAAGCGACGGTAATAATAACATTAAGGTGGTGGTCCACTACTAAAATTTCGGCTTTTATATTGAAATTTTCGAATTTTTGAAAACGGTCGATTTATATACTTTGAACCTTCCTTTATCACCTCAGAAAGGTTTTAGTGGCTAAATAAAGTTATAAACCACGAAAAAAGAGCAAATTCCTGAGCGCATGGTCATTTCCTGCCTTAGCAACGCCCTAGCAACGGTTGTTTTGGTCTGAAAAACCTCGTATAAAGGCCACCAATGAAAAGCATCTTGAATATATTACATGACGTTCACCCTCTGCCTTGAATAGGCAACCGCTGAAAGCTTCTTTAAAGACATGGGGGCGCTGTTTTAACATTTGTGTGCTTTCCAACTTTGTTGTGTCAGAATTCTCAAACATCGTAGCGATTATATTGTGTTCAAGCTTTGTTGTTATCCGTATTGAGCTTGATATTGTATATTCACAATGCCAAGACAAGGTTCAAGAACAAGGAAACGGAAATTTCAGGGCAACAGGTTTAACAATCCTGCGAAGAAAGCGTGTTTCTTCTGGGCAATCGACTGAGTCATGTCAAAATACTTTTGAATTGCAAAATTGGCAATCAGAATACTCAAGATGAATATTTCCCAGTCAAATCTACGGTAACAGGGTACCGCTTTGTTGATATGGAGCTGCTGAGCGATGTATTTCAGCAAGTGATGTGTAAAGAATGGTTCTTCAGCTTGTTTTGTGTTTAATAGAAGACAACCCATGTGAACAAAAAGGTAGTGCTTCCCATCTTTGAGTACGTTGTGAAACATGTGGATGGGTTTATACCTTTCACACCTCCAAGAAAGTCCAGAATTCTTTTGACTTCAACAAAAGATTTGTTTATGCCATAAGAAGTAATTCTGGAGATTTAGCTGCCATGAAATCCTCAATACTTGCCAGCTTGTTTCATTGTGTTTCTTCCAAGCGACGGAACCTGCACACCCATTGTCCAGATGGTCCTGAGAGCTGGTGTCGATACAAATAAGATGTGGCCAATAATACGCATCTGTATAAAACAGGACCTGGTCTTCCTGACAACATTATTGCCTTGATTAGGCCTATTTATATCAGGCTTAGCAATGATCTCTTGACAAAGTGTTTGGATGGCAAAACACAGAACCAAAACGAGTCCTTGAACGGGATGATCTGGAACTGGTTGCCGAAAACAGTTTTTGTTGGAGCCGAGGTCCTGAATTTTGGAGCATATGATGCAGTGGCTCATTTTAATATTGGTAACAAAGCAGCAGTGAACATTTCTTAGTCAGCTAGGATTGGTACCAGGACATTATTTTGAACAAAACATGCTTAAAGCCGACAAGCAACGAGTAAAGAAGGCGGAACATGAGAACACTCCTGCAATAAGGAAAAGAAGAAAAATCCTCCGTGGCCAGAAAAAAAAGAAGGATGATAAGAACAAGGAAACAGAGGGCACCATATATGAAGCAGGAGCTTTCTGGCATTGTAAATAATAAAATCGTAAGGCCATATGACAATTTAGACCCGATTGTGTTGATGATAAACTAAATATTAGACTTTAAATGCATTTTTCTCAAAATGCCGAAAATCAGCAATTTCCGATATTGTATGCAGGATATCTCAAGAAGTATTGAAGCTATCTTGATCAAATTTTCAGGGTAGACTCAGCATAACCATCTCTAGGAGTTGAACTAAAAGAAATAAATTCTGTTCAATAGTTTTAGAGCAGTGTCTACTTTCTGGGAAACAGCCGCATGCTTTTCCATTATTTCATCCGTAGAACTGTTAAAAATGCTTCAATCCCAAATGTTTTAGTTCACCTCCTAGACCTTGTTGTGTTTGAGTAAATAAAAGTTATTTCATCATTTTATCATCAATGGTTATGTAGTAATCATGTTTACAAAATGGGGTCAATTTCACCATTGGGCGTGGCATATTTTGGTAACCATGGCAACAAGACTTTGCAATCGTACATTTTTTTTGTCAGGGGATATAGCCTAACAACATACTAAAAGATCAGTTTGATACTATGAAAAGAAAGAGCAAAAAATTTTTTAGTAGTGGACCCCCTTAATTGAAAATATTGATATCGAAGACGAAGTATATGTCTATAACTGGGATATGTCGAGAAAGAGTTAACTGAAGCAAATATTAGGTAAGCCCCCCCTAGGTAGTAATAGATCTGTTTGCATCTTTCGAGTGACGTTTCGTGGAAGGAGCGTTGATTTCACGGTAGTTGTTTTGTAATTTGAATATGTACAGCAATATATGTGGGGAAGCCCCATTTTTCTTCGCTTATATAGCTTTCGCTTTCTGAACAGTATTTGTGAAACGGAATACTGAACCTTGTTCAATGTCTAAATAGACCTGAAATACCTCGTATTCATGTGAATTTTAATTGTCGAAATAGGAAAACAACGTTTTGTAGATGAAAATTGCACTGTATCTCTGCGGATCACTGTCTTGAAGTTCGTATTGTGTTGAGACTTGAGAGAGCATGCAGCACCATAGGAGGTGAAGAAATATTGTCATAGTACAACGTTTGGATAGTGAGAGGGGAAGAACATACTGCAACTTGTATTACGGTAACCAAGCCACTCGATATTGGCAAGTTATACTTGTTACTCGCATACATCTTTGATGTTGTTGTAAGGTTGAAAAATAATTAATTAATTATTATTTAATTATTCCGACGTTTCGAGCGAAGGCCCTTCGTCTGGAGTTACTGAAAGAAGGGCCTTCGCTCGAAACGTCGAAATTCTCCTTATATATATATATATATATATATATATATATATATATATATATATATATATATATATATATATATATATATTTTCAGGTAGTTTCATCCCTAAAAACGAAAGCTTGTTCATATGTGAATGATAGCTTTGTTATAAAAACTTCGATGGACTGTATTATCGTAATATTTAATATAAACTCAGGACAATTTTGAACATATTACACAAGACATATTACATCTCAACGTACAGAAAACGTTTCTTTACGCGTCATTTTGCATATATTATATTGATTATGCCACAGCGAACCCTAACGATAATTTCAACAAAACACAAGCATACGTCACACTCCCCCTGTTGGACATGTATCTATATGGCCAACACCTTACGACTGTTCGTGAAGCTCCATTGGAATGTTCTTAATTATATAACACTTTCGCAAGTTTACAGTTAATCTCCATAGGATATAACAGCTGTAATGGACGCCTTAATGTAGTAACTTTCCCTTTCTTGCTCATGGCTTGTACAACTGCACCTCTGGCTCTCGATTTCCCATCAGCCGTGCTATTGACAAGTTCCTTTATTCTTCCAATTCTCCGGAAACTACGCGGATGGTTCTCGTCGTGAACTAGTACTATATCTCCAACTTCCACAGAAGATTTCTCTACTGTTTTCTTGGGACTCTTATGTGCATTTCTCAGCTCTACCAAATACTCGTTCCGCCATCTTCGCCAAAAGTGTTCAATAATGTCATTTAGATAGCGAACTCGTTTGTTGAGGTCATTCGTCGATAGGTCGACTTGAAAATCTTCATCTTCAGGGTTCTCTTGATGACGATCAGGTAAACTCAGGATCCGTCTTCCGCTCAGAAGATGGGCTGGGGTGAGGGGTTCCTCGACGTCCTCGGAGGATACATAGGATAAGGGTCGACTGTTCAGGATCGATTCTGCTTCCGTGACAGCTGTAACTAGCTTGTCATAAGACAATCTTGCCTTTCCGATGGTTTTCTTCAAACATCGTTTCAATGATCCCACAAGCCGCTCAAAGAAACCTCCCCACCACGGGGCTTTCTCCAGATTAAACGACCACTGCATTCGTTGCTGCAAGAAATATTTCTTCACTTGAGGATCACGCATGAGTGTCATTAACTCTTTGGACGCAGCCTTAAAGGTTTTCGCGTTGTCCGAAACGACAAGCAATGGCGTCGAACGTCGTGACGTAAATCTCCTAAAACTCCTCTCAGGAAGGCTTGTGATTTCATGTTGGGAACAACTTCAAGGTGTACCGCTCTAGAAACACAGCAGGTAATCAAACAAATCCATGCTTTCTGGTCTAAATCGTTCGTAGATTTCACATATAAAGGACCGACGTAGTCTAAGCCAACGTACGTAAACGGTGGTGCTTCCTTTACTCTAAACTCCGGCAATGGCGAAGAGTTAAGTGCCTTGTATGCTCTACCATCTTGCTTCTTGCAGGTGACACAATTGAAGAGGAGTTTTCTTACAAAGTTCCTTCCACAGACTAACCAGAATTTCGACCGAAGTTTTGTCAATGTTGCCTTTACTCCCCCATGCATTACCAGCTCGTGACAATCCCGTACGATTAGCGTGGTGAGGTAATGAGCCGTATCTAACAGGATTGGATACTTTGCTGAATATGGCAAGTTTGAGTTAGATAGTCGTCCCTTACATCGGACGGTTCCATTTTCATCAGTGAACAGGCCGAGGTCTCGGTTCCAGGATTTGAAATTCTCGTTCAACTTCATTTCTTCCTGCAGTTCCTTGATCCATAGAACTCGAGCTAATTCGATGTCGGTGCTTGTAACTTCCGAGTTTGTTGGAGGATCTTCCTGTTTAACTCTCGATTTTAGTAGCTTGATGAACTTCAAGACAACAGCCGTTACTCTTAGCAAACGACCCAGGATACTGTAGTCCTTACAGTTAATAACATTGCTTATGGAATTTTTCGATCCATGCACTATCATCGTTGAAAGTGTCTCTTTGTCTAAAGCTCTCTGGTCCTTGACCTTCATCTCAATTCGACACTCTTCAGGTACAACATCGTTATTAATGTTCTCTTTAGCAGGGCTCTCTTTGGCGGACAACCATTTTGGGCCAGAACACCACAATGTAGATGATGCTAGTTGAGTAGGCAGGATACCACGTGACGGAATGTCTGCGGGGTTTTCTGCACCTGTGCAGTGACTCCAATACTCTACAGGAACCAGCACTCTAATCTCTTCCACTCGACTCTGTACGTATTGTTTCCATTCCTTCTCTTGCTGCGTAATCCAATATAATGCAACCTTAGAATCCGTCCAGCATTGCACCTTCGAGATTTCAATCACAGACTTCAGGGCTTTCCGAGTAAAGTTCATTAATCTGGCAAGCACGAGCGCTGATAGTAACTCCAACCTTGGGATCGTTTGTTTAGTTAAGGGTGCCACTCTTGCCTTCGATATCACCAACTGGACATAAGAGGCATTTGGTGTGATGATTCTGAGGTATATTACGGCAGCATATGCTTTGATAGAGGCATCGCAAAACCCGTGAAGCTCGTAGGATACAACTTGCTCGTGTATGTCAGAAATATAGCATCTCGGAATAACAACAGGTTGGACGTCCTTTAGGTTATCAACTAATTTCTGCCAATTGCATTTCAGTGTTCCTTCAAGTGGATGGTCCCAGTCACCCTTCGCCAGACAAAGTTCTTGAAACAACAGCTTGAAATTGATTGTCAATGGGGATATAAACCCCATAGGATCATAAATCTTGGAAGAAACACTGATCACCTTTCTCTTCGTAGCTTGAACCATCTGCGCCAAATCTGCAACATCCTTGATATCAATAATAAGATTGTCCTCGTAAGAATCCCATAAGATTCCGAGAATTTTCTGCTTGTCATCGCTTGCTGGAAGGGGAGGACCCAACGTACTTCCGGTGTAAGATGACTGCTCCTCCTGAACCAACTGCTGGGACTTGTTGCTATCAGCTCTGGCCATGTTACTTCCGTCAGATGCATTGTTCACTGTCACTAGTTGGTTGGTTTGGCATATACGCTCTTGGAGTTCTTTAGAGTTCGTGGTAATCTTTCGCAAATTGAAGTTAGCCTTTGCCAATCGGCTCCTTGAATCTTCATAGAGTTTGAATGCATTGTCCACATTTTCACCTCCGGATATAAGATCATAGATAGATAGATAGATAGATTGATTTAATAAGAAAACACATTGCAGCCGAGATAGATAGATTGATTTAATAAGAAAACACATTGCAGCCGAGTACGACTGGATTGCGTATTACTTTACAACAATGGTAATTATGAGAATAAAGTTTATCTAAAAAAGGTATATAAAAGAACGTTACAAATATGTTAAAGTGTGTAACTCAGTATATAAATTATGTATTTACAAAGTTAAAACTACGAATATTAGGCTTAAGAGAATTCTTTAATACAAGAAGGAATAAGTGTTTTTAAAAATCTATCAGTTTTAATCACTGGTGTTTGGAAGACACGTATACTACGCAAGTCATTGGTGATAGGTGGACGTGCAGGAAACAAATTCGACAACTTGTGTGCTGGGTCCTTAGTTATCTGATTGTATAGTTTGGAGCAGGCATGCCTTCGACGATCGCTTAAGAGTGTCAAGTTAGCTTTGTCCAAACGCTCGCTCTAAGACAAACCGGGAAAGATTATGGATGTAACTCTTCTCTGGGCTCGTTCTATGTTATCACTGAGATACTTGGGCAGAGCAAAGTGAAATACCTCACAAGCGTATTCCAGAACCGGTCTGACACAGCAACAATAAAAGTTTAGAATTTCTTTGGCTGGTATTTTAGCTCGTTTTAATTGGACTATGAAGAAGATTCTCTTGGTGGCTTTCTTTATTATGTTTAGGACATGCGTAGACCATCTTAAATCATCACTAACCGTAACACCTAGAATTTTAGCTTGGCGAACCAGGTTTGGACACCCCGCAAGAAGATGGATATTATCAAAGGATACTCTATTTCTGTGGAATTGAAACAAAAGCTCTTTGCATTTTTGGACATTCAATTGGAATTTGTTCTGCGAGTTCCACATTTCAAGTTCGTTAGCTCCAGATTGGATTTGGCTGGTTCCGTTTCTTGGGATAGTTTCCGAGACTGTTGTATCATCGATGTATTTCCAGTGGGTGATGTCCATAAGCTTCAAATCGTTTATCATGAGAATAAACAACCAAGGTCCCAACTTTGTGCCCTGTGGGACGCCACTAGGGACATTACCCCACTCAGAAACACAGTCCCTTGCAAGTTTCACGCGTTGTTTCCGACCACACAAAAAGCTAATAAGCCAATTTGTGATATAGAGTGGGATGGGCAGTTGGCGAATTTTGTTGATCAAGATTGAGTGATCAATAAGATCAAAAGCCTTCCTGTAATCGACCAGAAGGACTCGCACGGAATTTCCAGTACCATCGGTTGCTTTAGCCCAGTAGTGCAACATACTAATAAGGGCAATAGTTGAAGATGACTTTGGTATTCCCCCGAACTGGTGAGAGTCGATGCATTTCAGGATGGCAGGGGCGACAAACTTTTCAATGACAAATTCTTCAGCCAGTTTTGAGAGACAACAACTACGAGATATGGGTCTTAAGTGTTTATTAATGTCGCATACAACATTTTCCTTTGGAATTGGGATAATGTTCGCCAACTTCCATAAGTTTGGTAATAATTGATGGCGGAGTGAACAGTTGATCAAGCTAGAGATTGGGCATGCCAAAATCTCGGCATATTCCTTGTAGACAAAATTCGGAACTTCATCAGGACCTGGTGCTTTAGAGGTACTTAGTAATTTAAGTTTATTATACGTTTCCCACGGTGTAGTGATGTCAAGAGGTTGATCAGACATACTATTGATTTGGTCGTCATTAGGGTTGAAAGGATCAAATTCCTGCATGGGTTCTAGAAAGGCGTTGTTAATAACATTAGCCAAATCGGCCAAGGGCAGGTGTTCTAAGTTTTCTGATTGGATACAATCCTGTAGGCTTGAATGTGAAACCATTCCACTAATGCGTTTTACTTCGCGCCACCAGTGTTTCGGGTTAGATTGTTTTAAATTATCTACTTTTGTCTTATAATAATTAGCCTTGCAAGATTTCCTTTTCCTATTAACCCTATTTCGATAGAATTTGAAGAGGGTGTCATTCCCGAAGAAAAAGGCACGCTGTCGAAGTTGTATGAGACGACGCAGATCCTCGTTGATCCACGGGTGGTCGTTGGAATGAACCAAAAGGCGTTTTTCAGGCAATATATAGAATAATCCAAAGGATAGCATATCGGTGAACAGTTGGTTTTTCACCTCAACGGATTTGGGTGAGTCGAGGAAAGACCAGTCAATTTCGCTTAAATACCGCCCAAACATAGCTTTGCGTGAAGGTCTCATATCACGTTTATAGACGACTTTCTTCTGGTTAGACTTAGGGTCTCGGAGTTTAGGAGAGACAGCAATTACAGAATGATCAGAAAGGCCGAAGGGCGGAAATGCGATGATGGAGTCCGATAGATAGAAAGGATCTAGGTTTGTGAGCACTAGGTCAAGTGTATTGCCCCCTCTTGTTGGTATCTTCACAAGTTGTTTTAAACCAAAATTTATGCGTAACTGTTTTATATCTAAGCGATTAAAGTCACCAGCCAAAATTAAACCACAACCAGGATAGAGACTCTCAACCCGGGTCAGTGATGCAATTAGGTACTCCAAGATTTCATTATCGTCCGAAGACGGGGGGTGGTAGATAGTAGCAGTAACTATGCACGAAACACCTCTGGGTAACCTGGTCGGCCGTACATAAACCCACATAACTTCCAAATTCGGACATTCCAGGTTATATAAACGGAATGTTTTATATTTCGAATTGGAAAACAAACAGACGCCCACATGAATTCCAATTCGACGATCCAACCGTTCGAGGTTGTAGCCAGGGAGGATAAGTTGATCATCCCCAACATTACTTTTTAGCCACGTTTCAGAAATGAAGAATAAATCAATACTATGAGTTTCAGTAAAAACACGAATTTCGTCAATTTTCGGAAGAAGTGACATGACGTTAGTTAATACAATATTAGGAACAAATTCCCGAGATCTGGATTGGTTCTTTAACATGGTGCTGGAATGAGTATTTTGTTTATAATCTATTGGGACTTCAATTACATTGAATCTATTACTCGTTGTGACGGGACTTCTGTAAGGTTTTCTCTGAGTTAGATGTACATTAACTGGTTGGGATTTATCATTGCCAGTGTAGTCACTTAAAAATAGGGGTAGGGTATTTGTCGTCAAGGTATTTGTCGTCCATTTGTCGTCAAGGTTGTCGACAAATGGAGTAACTATTACATTACTTTAAATGCTGACGCAACGAGCGAACCTGGAGCGAGCGAGCAAGTTAACAGTTCTAATTCGTATTGGGCTCTGAAAGTGAGATTTTACTTCCATTTCTCCAACTAGAATACACTGCTGTTAACCAACCAGAATTAATAATGCATTGCTGTTAACCGACCAGAACCTTTGCATGCATGATGTTATAAATACGGGGAATCTCATTAGTCAGTTTATGGTCACTGTATGGTCTTCCGGTTAATTTCTGGCTGGTTTTACCCTATATATCCTGAATTTGTTATTACAAACAATTTATAACGCGTAGAAAGCAATATTTCTGTGCTTGTGTTCTTTGCCTTATCGATCTTTTTTAATTTGTCTTTTCTTATCTCATTTGGCACTTAGCATTGAAATCAACATTGTAATTGCACGCTAAAGAGCGTTCGTTTCAAGCGAATCAATATTTAATTTATTGATTATTGACATTATTGACACTCCTCCAAAGGGGATTTTCAGTGAAAAAATTACAAACACATAAAACTTACAGTATTATTACTACATTTAGTCCTGATTAAATTTTTAAAACACATTACTAGCAAACAAGAACAATTTCACAAAAACTGTGACAGGGACAACAACAACGACAACGACAACGACTACGACTACGACGATAACACAACAACAGTGACATCGACAACGCTTATATATTGATTAACTACTGAAAACAAAGTTCCTAATAACTATCCAGGAATTGCTGGAGAAGTTTATGTCCTATTTTAACTTAAAGTTTGAAATAGAATTGCACCGACTTAAATCAGGGCTAATGTTGTTCCAAAGAGTGACAGTTCGATAGTGGAATGTTCTTTGTCCAGTAGCTGTTTTGTACAATGGAACATCCAGATTCCGTACATTTCGTTTCTCACGAGAGCTCACTTCACCTCTGGTTATGAATTGGGACGACAAGTAGATTGAGGCTCAACTTTTCATGCATTTGAAGGCCAGTAGAGCATCACGATAGTAGAGATGCAATTTCACGGGAAGCCACTGTATTTCCTTTAGAATCGGGATGATGTGGTTTCTTGTTTTCGTCACTACTCGTGCCGCGAAATTCTGAACGACTTGAAGACGGGAAAGGTTACTGCAGGATGTGTTTGACCAAAGTGAAGAACAATAGTAGAGCTTGCTGGAAACCAAAGCATTGATTACAGTTACTGACAGATTTTTGTTGAAGGCGTGTTTAGCTCGATTTATCTGACAGATACTTGACTTGCAGGATGAGACGGTGGAAAGGATATGATTGTCGAAGGAGAGGATTGAGTCAAACGTAACTCCCAGATCTTTGACTGTTGCAGCAGGTGTTAGTTTTTACCGAGTAGTGAGAGTCTAAATTCAGGTAGCCTTACGAGCATTTGTCGACTTCCGTAGACCATCAATTTGGTCTTGCCTGGGTTGAGCAAGAGCAGGTTGTCGAAACACCAATTTTGAATTCTAATTAAGTCTTCTTCCAGACAAGGGAACAATAATCAAAATATGGGAGGACTAATAAAAGAATTATACATTAGTTTTAAGGCATCTTGTTTAACGTATTTTTTAGCTCGGCGAATAACTCCTATTGCCCTTGACACCTTAACGCTGAGATTGTCAATATTC